CTTTCGAACCCACTTTCAACTTTCCTTCTCGTATTCTTCATCCCAATGGGCAGCCAAAAGACAGCAACCCAAATCGGCGCACGAAAATGCATGGTTAATGGTTGTTCAAACTGAAACTGATTTATAAGCGACATCGTTTGTGAGACTCGACCCTGGCACCCAGTTGCTCTAACCATTGACTAGATTGATCCCTGACCATGTTCCCTGGTCAAGATTTGCATACCCTCATACCGGGTCATATTTAGGCTGCTCTTGACCTTTCTACCACCGTTTGCCTCGGCAAACATTGGATAGCCGGGAAGCCTATTCGGTGGACTCAGCAACACGTAGTCCAGCCAACACAATCTATGGGGTTCAGGTACTTGCGTCTGTACACGGCCATAAACACCCAAACCTCTCCATCTAACCTCGGCATTGCTTGTCCAATTGTTCCACCAGACGCGCAATGTGAAGTTCAAACCTTGATATTCTCTTTTTATCCACCTCTGGGAAAACGATGTCCTTGCTCCATCCCGGTAACACCAACTGCACTATATACTTTGGACTCGTTCGCATACGGCTGGATGCCGGGACGCTGCCACAGCTTTCTCATATATCTCCTTTGATATACATTTGGTTCGCTGTTCTAACCACGCCACAGTCATCCAACTTTGTCTTAAAGCGGCTTCATTGATTCCATGTTCCGTTTATGCGCTATTTGGTTCCGCTCTCTGGATTCCAGGCTTTCCGCAGATTATGTTTATTGGAACATGTCGTACACCTGTCACTCGGTATATTTCCTTAAGAGCAGTTTGCTCTGAGAATGGAAGTTGATTTGGGAAGTCAAAGGCGGTCAAATCAAGATCTAGCCTGAGAGTATGACCAGGAACTTGGTTATATGGGTTGTGTTTGGCTCCCCGGTTTGGAATATCGAGATAGTTTTAATCATTGGTTCGAGAAACTCGCTTCCATCGTTATCTTGAACGGTGTGGTGATTATACATCTACATTTCTTTACAAATTAATTCAAGTACACTCCGTATTTTTACTCCGGTACTCCTACCTTTCTATTTTTGTACTCCTTTATCCGAATGGGTAATCGTAAGACAGCAACCAAAACCATCGTCAAAAGTGCTGGATTAGCTGTTTTATCAGTTGAAACTAAAACTGTCATAAAGAGATTTGGTGGGTGGTCCCGAAACTCCGGTCTCCATACTCTGAGGGTTGAGGAATTATGGTGAGCAAATATAAGTTGATTTATTCCTATCGTTGGGGTCTTTGGCTTGTTTCAAATGTTTAAAAGGTCCTACGGAGCTCATAATGAGAACACAAATTGGCAAACAAGCTCGTTTCCAGTGTGTCTTAATCATGCCATTACAACACAATAAATATGACTAGTATCAAAGAAGGATTTACAAGGAAAAAGAGAGGGAAAGTAATTAAAGTATTCAAGAGTTTGTTTCATAATTGGTCCCCAATTATCACTTGCTCCGATGTTGCGTACTGTACAAACGTTACGTAGACGATATTTTGTGCGTGGTCGATTCTAAAACGGAGTGTCAAAATATACTAGATCATTTCAAAGCTGCGCATCGAAATTTGAAATTCACGATTGAAAATGAAGCAAACAATCAACTAGCATATTTAGATGTCTGCCTAACTCGCTGTGATGACGGAGCCATCAGGCGGTCAGTACACAGGAAGGCAACTTGGAATGGGCAGTACATTCATTTCCGTAGCTTTGTACCACTCAGTATGAAGAAGAATCTCATACTTTGTTTGGTCAATAGAGCTAGAAAAATTTGCACGCAGGACATGCTGGTTGAAGAACTCCAAAATGTGCGCAATATTTTCATCCAGAATGGATATCCGGAGCGTTTGGTGGAATCTGTGATGCAAGCGCAAGAGGCATTTCCCAAGAGGGTAATTGCTGAGAAGAAGTCTGTATGCATTTCTTTACCGTTTAAAGGTGACACGTTGGCAGAGATTGTGCATAGAAGGTTATCAAATGCCATCAACAAAACGTTCTACGCGGCTAAGCTTCAAACTCGATTCGCATCTAGCCCGCTGGTGTATTTACGGTTGAAGGATAGAGTGCCTGATTCTGCGGCCTCTTTCTGTATTTACTCTTTCACTTGTTCCTGTGGAGCAAAATATGTTGGCCGCANNNGCATTCTAGCCACAGCGGAGGCAATTTCCATCCGTCTTCATAACCCCCCTCTGTGCGCTCAGAAACAATTTGTGCAAGCTCCCATGGCCGGATCGCCGACAAGTGA